GGCGGGGGAGGTGGGTGGATGTAAGCTACCTGTTAGTGTGGCCACTGTCATCACCGGCTTAGTCAGGTAAGGACCAGTCACTCCCCCATCATTGTCTTCCTCAGTGCACTCACCTCCCCCATATATTCTCCGTCACTCAAATGTCTGTTGTCTCCTAGTCTGGGCCCTGAGGGATGAGGTAAGAGTTCGGTGCTAGAGAATCCAAGAGACCAAAGCTGGACTTTCTGTTTGTTTGCTTGTGGTGACTGTAGTTGGGGGGAGGTCAGCAGAAGCTCCAAAGAAGCGGTGACCTTTAAACTGAGACGTGAGGCCGAAAGAACTCGGCATTAAGAGTCAGAGAAAAAGAAGGCCCACGGCCCGTTTCGGCTGCTCGAGGGAACTGGACCAAAGCGCCTTCCGGGTCGGCTAAGTCCAGAAGCCGCCCACGCTCGGGACGGGCGCGGGGGCGGAGCCGCCGGCGGACAGTCGCCCGGGTCCCCGGTTCGCTTGAGGGCGTGGCTCTGCGCATGCTCGGCTCGCCGGCCCTCCGCCGTCGCGGGGCGCGGGAGGGGCCGCAAGCAGCGGGAACCGCCTCATGGCGCAGGCGGGGAGAGCTAGTCCGGGGGCCTGGGGGCGGCGGTGCGCGGGCGGGGATGCGGCTCCGGTCTGCGCGCCTTGGCGCTGGGCCTCCGCGCTGCTCTGGCTGGCGGCGGCGGCAGCGGCGGCGGCGAGCGGCCCCTCCCGGCGCCAGTGGCCGGTGGGGGCGGGGAGGGGATTGTGTCCGGGTCGCGGAGTTGTGCGGGGGCGGCGCTCGGCGACCCTGAGGGCGCGGCGTTGAATGAAGTAAGAGAGATGTTGAGTCGCGGATGTTTGCTGCGCGCAGCCCTGGGGTCACCTCCTCTCGGGACCCTTGAGCCAGTTACGAGGTGACCTAGACTCAGGGCTGCCCCGAATCGTGGATGAAAAGGGAGTACTGTTATTTCGTCGCGTGACTGTCGGATACAAGTCGCTGACACTTTGAATAGTTTGGGGAGACCTTTAATATCGCATTTATTACCGTGCCATGCCCTGTCATTTAGTTATCTTGAGTGCATAACATTTGCACGTCAAGTGTCCAGTTTACCCAGCTTGCCTGGGTTTGCCTGGGACTTCCCGTTTTTAGCACTAGAAGTCTGGCGACCCGGAAATCCGCTCGCCCCCTCGGTTGGCGACCTCGTTTGTCCACTGTCTTCAGCCTGGAGGTAGGACGCTGGTCATAAGCTGAGGACACGGAGACTGCAGATATGCGAAGCATATTTGAGCCTTTGAACTAGAAGAGTATTTACATGGCCTAATTGTCAGAGATGGCTCAGCAGAGAGAAAGAAAACATGGTGTCAACATCAGGCAGGGGAAGGGCCAGCAGCTTTTGAAAATGCACAACTATTCTGAATGACGATATAGTGAGTTGGGAGACAGGATAACCTAGGGGTCGCGAGTGAGTTCTGGGCTCCGACCACTGCGGGTCAGGCTCCACCATCACTAGCTGTGTGATCTTGGGAAAGTTGCTCAGTATCTCAGTGTCCACATGTCCTGAGTCAAAAAGTAGGAACAGTAGTTACTTCAGGTTTGTTGGGGGGATTAAATCTAGGAAATGCTAGCCAGCTGTTTTCAAACCTGAATACAGTATTGGAGTATTCTGCTCACTAAATGGCTCGCAGTACTTTCTTGTTTTGCTTGATATACATGAAAAGAGAAATTTGAGTTTGAAGCTGGTTTTCTTGAAAGTGTTAATAAAATGTTCGAAAGAAGTAAAAATTTAATATTCAATAAAACAAGGAAGAGATTGGAAACCCAAAACTACTTGATTTAAGGACAAGATATTGGCTGTGACTTCTTATGTTTCTTTAAAAGTTTGAAGTGTTAAGTACATGCCTTCATCTAATCCCCATCATAAAATTTTAACTTTATTAAGTTCACACTTAAATCATACTCTTGAAATTACCTTTGACCTAAAATAGATTTTGCTGTGGGTAAGTGAAACCTATATGTAGTTGCTCATTTGCTTAAACCAGGTAAGCACCTATAAAACAGTTAAGTATATCCAAGACTCTTAAGCTTTTAGGAGGGGTTGTCAATATTTTTGTCTAAATAAGGATTTTGTTTTTGGCTGTACCGCAGGGCTTGCGGGAACTTAGTTCCCTGACCAGGGATTGAACCCAGGCCAAGGCAGTGCAAGCACCGAATCCTAACCACTAGACCACCAGGGCACTCCCTAAATCAAGATTTTAACTCTTTAAATTAGAATAGACATTTTTGTTGATGTGTTAGGATTGTAAAACAGTAGATTGGGCTAGAACCTGAGGGAATCTAGGATCTTAGAGGGTAGATAGAGGCAGCTACTTTCATCTTTCTCTCCAGTGAAAGGTGTGTAGTGAGTGTCTGCTGATCTGAAATCACCACAGTCCCTCCTCCCCAGTCCTACTGCCATGGCCTTCTCAGGCTGCTTCCTTGCTTGTTGTATTATTGCTGTGACCTCCTCACTGCCCTCTCAGCCTTAATTTGGCCTTTCTCCCCGCCCTTTTCTAATTCATAAAGTGAGGCTTATTTAGAGCAAATTCAGTTATATCATGTCTGCTACTTCAGATCCTTTAACTGATCTCCCTCCCGGGCTCAGCCCTCCCCAGCTGTGGCACTCTAGAGGGTGCCCTTCACATTGTCCAGACATAACTCTTGTTTTATTGCACTTCTCAGATACCGCATTTTTTACCGACTGAAGATTTGTGGCAACCTTGTGTGGTCAGATGGTAGTTAGCATTTTTTAGCAGTACAGTATTTTTTAATTGAGGTCCATACAATATGTTGGGGTTTTTAAGACATAATACTATTGCACGCTGAATAGACCACGGTATGATGTAAACATAACTTTTATATGCACTGGGAAACTAAAAAGCTCAGGTGACTCCCTTCCCTTTACAGCGTCATCCGACGTATTGTGGTGGTCTGGAAGCGACCCACGCTGTCTCCGAGGTGCACCTGAATTAGGGCGAAGTGACAGTCCCTGCCTCCCTCTCCTCTCACCGCTGCTGCCTTGAAGCCTGAACTCCAGTCTTCCTTACCCACTTGAGACTCTTCCAGCGTGTCATGCTTGACTTAGAGTATTTAGTGTTTTGTTTCCTTTTCCGTACCGACTTCCTAAAGTATTTTAAAAACCTAGGCTAGGCCTTCATCTCTTCCTTTGCCTCCTTACCCCCAGCCATCCCGCAGCAGGTAAAAATGATTTCTCCCTCTTTTGCACCCTCAGGACTTTGTGTATTTCTCTGTAAGCACTCACCATGCTGCGCTTCATCACTTGTTTAATGTCTTACCAGCCCTCACCCAGAGCTCCTTGAGGGGAGGAACAGCATTTTAACTTTTGTTTCCCTCCTTTCTAGTATAGTCGTAGATCCTCAATAATATTGGTTGAAGGGGATGTCGGCTAATCCTCAAGAAAATAGAAAATATGTTCTATTTAATTATGATTATCTTTGAATAATCTTGACATATGGATTGTTTGGGAAGTTCAATATCATTTGAAAGCTATTCCTTTATTCAGTAAATATCTGTCTACTAAATAAGGTGTGGAGCTATAAACATTTTCACATGTGGTCCCTGTCTTCAGAATTCTCACAATGGGAGCGGAGAACCAGGAAGCATGCAATTATCAGTGCTTTCAATGTATCATTTGCTATTAAAGACATCATTGGAGTTTGTTCACAGGTTAACATACAAAATGTATATTTATACACTGTGGCTGAGCTTTGGGCGTTTTTTCTAAAAATGTGATTGACAGTGAAATTAAAATCTGGATTCTACGATGTGCGAGAACCAAATTCCTATTAGAATCTAAGTTGATGATTTTTTTTTCTTTGTTAGACGCTTTTCCTTCCGTCCGGAACCAGATCCTTACTGTCAAGCTAAATACACTTTCTGTCCCACTGGCTCCCCTATCCCAGTGATGAAGGATGATGATGTCATTGAAGTCTTTCGATTACAAGCCCCAGTGTGGGAATTTAAATATGGAGACCTCCTGGGACACTTGGTAAGGCTGCATCTTGATCTTATAGCTGGTTAATTAAGTGATTTGATTAAGTGGATTTGAGGGAATAATCTCTAGTCAGTCACTAGTTTTAGATTATGTTTATTGGTGTTCCTCTTAGCAAATTTTAAATAAATAGTCCAGAAAAAAATCAGGTTTTATGATCCTGACAATAATCAATGCAATTGCTTTAATCCATTTTAATATTATGAATCCAGACGCAATTCCTGTACCCAGATCCTGGAAAGAAAGAAAGGAGGAGGCCCCGAGCAAGGGGCAAGGCAGGTGGGAATCACTTCTTCACATCCAGTTCCTGTTGTGCACACTTTTCTTAGGTTAGCTCACCATTTGAGCCTCTCATCACCTGAGAGGTACACAGACTTCCTTCCTGAGTCTGGGGCATGGAGGCTTCTCGACGTGAGAATAGCAACAGGGAAGGGGAATAACTGGTCTACTCTATATGCAGTTGTGGTATCGCACTTTCTCCCGTCTGGCTCCTGAAGCAGTGGTTACGTCACAGATGCTTTGATACATGTATGATCTTTACACAGAAAATTATGCACGATGCCATTGGATTCAGGAGTACTTTAACTGAAAAGAACTACACAATGGAATGGTATGAACTTTTCCAGCTTGGAAACTGCACATTTCCCCATCTCCGACCTGAAATGAATGCCCCTTTCTGGTGTAATCAAGGAGCTGCCTGCTTTTTTGAAGGAATTGATGATATTCACTGGAAGGAAAATGGGACGTTAGTTCTAGTAGCAACCATATCAGGTAAGTTTCAAAAATATGGCAGCATTTGATGATTGCATCAGTATCCAAAAATGACAGAAATTACTTTCATTGAGGCCTCTCAGTAATGGTCTGCTCTTCAGAGGTCAACTTATAAAATACACTTCTGGAATCACTAACCTTTGATCCAAACTATTACTCATGCAAAACTTCACCTTATTTACAGATTATCTTTTCTATTTTCATAATAAAAATAAATGATATAAAGCTGTACAATTAAATTGGACTTTCTAAATAAAATAATAGAGATAAATCTTTATTTTAGAGGTGACCACCAGTTTGTTCTCTGTATCTGTGGGTCTGTTTCTGTTTTGTTTTGTTTGTTCATTTGTTTTATTTTTTAGATTCTGCATACCATATGAAATCATATGGTAATTTGCCTTTCTCTGTCTGACTTACTAAACATAATGTCCTCTAGGTCCATCCATGTTGTCACAAGTGGCAAGATTTCATTCTTTTTTTATGGCTGAATAATATTCCACTGTATGTACATGCCACATTTTCCTTATTCATCCATCCCTCAATGGAAACTTGGGTTATTTCCATGTCTTGGCTATTGTAAGTAATGCTGCAGGAAACTTAGGGGTGCTTATATCTTTTCAAGTTAGTGTTTTCTCTTCCTTTGGATAAATGCCCAGGAGTGGAATTGCTGGATCATATGGTAGTTCTATGTTTAATTTTTTTGAGGAAGCTCCGTACTGTTTTCCATAGTGGCTCCACCAATTTACATTCCCATCAGTAGTGCACGAGGGTTCCCTTTTCTCCACACCCTCACCAACACTTGTTATTTGGTGTCTTTTTGATGATGGCCATTCTGACAGGTGTGAGGTAATATCTCACTGTGGTTTTGATTTGCAGAATTGGTGTCTTTTAAATGTAATCTGGGAATCTTTTAACTATTTATCATGCTGTTTTCTTTCTTCCTATTTTCTAATTGATGTGCCCCAAACCATCCAACAATATAAAAGTCCGTTTCTCTTTTAGCAATGCTCAGTGTGGTAAATAGCTATCCTTCTTTCATTCCAGGCCAGTTCACATCTCTCCTTTCTCCATTTCCACCTACCTCATTATCTACAAAATCTTCCTTCTGACATCAAAGTATGATCATATGAACAAGTGATCACCATTTTCTGTAGAAGAGTTTGCAATATGCTGGTACTTAAATCTTTTAAGTTATCCATCTGCCTTGTGATTAATCCTGTTCGTTGACCTTTTTTCACATTACAGAATAGGGTTTTTAAGCATTCTTATCTCTTCATTACTAGCAGTGGCTTTTCAAAGTTGAAGGACACTAAGAACAGTATCCCCAGCTCTAAGAAAATAGGATTTATATTATTTCACCATTTTAATACCATAAAATTGATAAAAGCAGCTACTCTGTTCATTCTGCAGGGCTTAAAATATTGATTTTATGGACTCAAGCTGGAGTAACCTAAGAAAGATTCACACACAGTGACAAAGTGAAATGTTGGGGCCACGCTGTTTTAGGCCCAGATGTGGTTGCAACCATGCAGAGTATTTTGTTGACATTTGGAGAGATTCCTCTGGTCTGGTACAAGGTGGTAAGAGAGAGTGTTAGCCATCCTGGAGTCTGTATAATCCATGAACTTGGTCAAAAACATTTCCAGTTTAGTTGATTCACTGGAAGAATTTGTGTAGTGGGTAGAAAGGTTGTAAGCAGTAGCCACAAGTACAGGGAGCAAAGGGAGTTACCAGATATTCAGGGTGAATGGGGCAAGGTGCTTCCTTCTCAAGTAGATGTTCCTCAGGCAGCCATTCATACCTTGCTTTGCACAGAAAAGCTTCGTGTTTCACCCTCCTCAGTTCTTCTTACACTGTCTTTGCCTCATTCACTTTTTCCTCTTCCACAATTTTTCCCTGGCTTTTTCCTCTTTTGCCTCTGAATCCAAGATTTGTTGAGTGGAGTAGAGAAAGAGGGCTTTGGCACATGTACAATTTAGCTTTTGACTGTAGCTTAAATGATTATAGAATTTGTATGTAAGACTCCTCTTTATACACCTATTATATCTAATGTTTAGTTCAGAAATACCTTGTGCCTTGAAAAATGGAACAATAATTGGCTGAGCTTGGATTCCTTTTGTGAGATGCAGGTTTGGAAATTCAAAAACTGTTGTTTAATCGTGTAGTCATGGCCTTGATCTGGTTAGAGCATTTTACTTAAAACTAACATGATTAGCTTTGATGTTCACATAGTGTTGTTTTTTGTTTTTTTGTTTGTTTGTTTTTAACTAGGAGACATATTTAACAAAATGGCAAAGTGGGTAAAACAGGACAATGAAACAGGGATTTATTATGAGACATGGACTGTCCAAGCCAGCCCAGAAAAAGGGGCAGAGACATGGTTTGAATCCTACGACTGTTCCAAATTTGTGTTAAGGACATATAAGAAGTTGGCTGAACTTGGAGCAGACTTCAAGAAGATACAAACCAACTATACAAGAATATTTCTTTACAGTGGAGAACCTACTTACTTGGGAAATGAAACATCTGTTTTTGGGCCAACAGGAAACAAGACTCTTGCTTTAGCCATAAAAAGATTTTATTACCCTTTCAAACCACATTTGTCAACTAAAGAGTTTCTTTTGAGTCTCTTGGAAATTTTTGATGCTGTGATTATACACAGACAGTTCTATTTGTTTTATAATTTTGAATATTGGTTTTTACCTATGAAATTCCCTTTTATTAAAATAACATATGAAGAAATCCCTTTACCTAACAGAAACAGAACACTCTCTTGTTTATAAAACTTTAATTCTACTGCCTTTTTTTTCTACTAGCACATCAGTTTTTCAGGGAGTGATTTTACATGTGTGGATTTCTTAGGCCTTTCTTCCTTGGGACAGAAAGGTAAAATACACATGGGCAGAACTGCTGCATAATAATATCTCAGGAAATTTTTTGGAAAGAAGCTGAAAACTCTTATTGTGTTGGCCAAAGTGAACCCATTAGGTGATCTTGATTTCAATCTCCAAGGCTTTGTTAATACGGAGAATTGTATCATCAGATATGTGGATATGGTGTGCCAAAACTTTAAAAATACTGTCAGTGACATTGTCATGGTGGGAGCTACTTTTTGCAGATATGGTAGTTACACTTTCTCATTTAGGTACTCTCTAGTAGTTTTGACTGACTTTATAGCCTTTGTAACTTCTAGAGCCAGTCCTAGTAGTTTGATTTTGTTCTATTCACTTAACCTTAAAGAGTAATTTGGACACCACAGCTGGAGTGGTCATGCTTCCAGATGTGGTAAAATCAGTGATAAAGAGCACAAGTTTCTGGCTAGCATTTTAGAACTAGCCAGTGACTGGTATTTTGTGATTTAAGCAACTTATCATTTCCAAACCTTAGTTTCCTTATCTCGAAAATGATTCATCTGTCACTATTGTTGTAGACTGAAGCCGTGTATAGTTTGGCCTAGTAAGGTCACAGTAAGTGGTAACTATAACGATTAATGAGAGAACAAACTGCCATCATTGATCTTGCCTAATGTGGTTTACATGCCAACCTATCCTGGTTTTGTAATAATCACCTAGACTTTGAGCTGGCAGCATAGTGCTTCTGCGGTTCTTCACACATGTGGAACATGGAAGTATCCGACTGCAGGTACATCTGGGTGAACAGGCACCCTTTAACTAACTCCTTCACTGCTTCACACAGTCCCCCCGCCGCCCACTAAAGCTGCCAGCACTGCAAGAAGGTACACTTCCCCAGAGAGAGGGCAGGTTTTTGTCAAGGATCTCCAAGTAGCCATGCTTCCATTAGGGCCATCAAACAAGGTCTCAAGGTCCTTTAAGTGTCTGATAACTGAACACCTTGTTTCTATTCATGGAAAAAATACCTACCAGTCAAGGAAATGATGAGGCAGAGATCAGAGAAAACAGTCTGTATTTAATATGTAAATGTACCAATTCTATTCAGTTTCTGCCCACATTTGAGTGCTTCCTAAGAGGTTAGTACATTGAGTTCTCATAAAAAGCCTAAGCGTAGGTACTCTTTACGTGATTCAAATGAGGAAATTGAGACTTAGAAAGGTTATGTGACCTTTCCACAGCTACCCACCTAGTGGTAATGGAGCCTCATTTTGAACCAGGTTCTGCTGACTGAATGGGATGCACCATCAAGCAGGTTTTTCAGCGCTGCTCAAAGTGTGGTCCTCAGACCAGTGCCTGGACCATAAGTTACTAACAAACACCATATGTTCTGGTCTGTGAGGAGGAACTCTTAAAGCAACTTGTTGGACTAATTTTGTTTCTGTTGAATCTAATAAAAAAACCAAACAAACCGGGGGCTTGTACTTTGCTTTTATTTCATTTGTCTGGGAATTTATTATTGTCTTCAAAACTATAGGCACTAAAACGCAGTCTAAAAATAAAAACCCAGCCCTTCAGCACAGATAGCGTAAGAAGCACTGCAGCATTATGATGATGCCTGCTGCACAGAGGATATCTCACCCTCGAGCACAGGGAGAACTGGCTTTCACTGCCTACAGTTTAGCTTTACTCATGTTAATAGCGCCAAACATTCCTGATTACTTTAACCTCTTTAACCTGCTAGTTGTCTTCAGAATATGTCACAAGAAAACTTGGATCTTTGCACTGGCACCATCTAGTGGCTAAAATCGGGCCATGTCAGCCTCTACGGCTTCTCAGGAAAATTGCTCTGGAAAAAGTGTTTTGTATTAACTGTAAATCACAGAACTTGGTTCCATGGCAACAACAAATGAGGACATCCGTACATGGAACTTGAATATTAAAGCAAGAATCTACTAGTTACATTAAAAAGTATTCATGATTTTCCACTGTTCCTAAGAATACTGATAAGTGAAGAAATTCTACTGAGAATTTGACATATAGACTCAGGATACTATAACAGAGTGTGTAGCATTCATATAAGTAAGTACTTCATAAGAATTTATCAAACCTATCAACTATACTTACAAGTTGAAGTAGGGCTTTGAAGCAGAGATGATTCAGGAAAAAGCTTTTAAAATGGTAGCTGGAAAACCAAAACACAAGCCAGGCAGGAATTTGCCAATTAAATTTTGCTGTCCTTTGAACTTCTATATAACTAACTTAAATATGATTTCTGTTTTTCTCGTTAAGTTGTACATGTATAAAATTTCCTCTACAAGAAACCATTAGTTGAAGTCTAAGTTATATTAGGGCTTTAGAATAAACTTATTAACAACTTATTAATTCTGGCTCCATATTAGGTAAGTATACCCACAGTGTGTCATCAGTTGTAGGTACGGGAAAATAGGCAAAAGGTGAAAATAACTCAAACTGTAAATATTTGGAACCCTCAATCAATACTGGCTCCTTATTAGAAATCAGAAAAATTAATAAAAATAAAAAATCTTAAGAAGTCTCATCCAGTTTTATAATCTGCTCTGGTGGCACTTAACAAATTCCCTAGGACTGTATTTCCTTTAAGAAGATGACTTTTTTTTTTTAAAGAAATTGTTGGTATGTTTCAAAAACAGCAACATTCCCAAACCCCACACATGCTTTTCCCCTCACAGCAAATGAGCTGGCCAAAGTTTGTTTCCAGCATCTTCCTCGTATTTACCCTTTATTGTCCAAATAGCATCCTGCTTCTTAAACCTTCTACATTTTCTCTCCCCTATTTAAAACAAGACTGCATGTTAATCATATATTTTTTTACTGGACTGATTATTCTAAGGATAAGCTCTTAATTCACTTTGGAGTAAAAGGCTTTGGGTTCTTTTTTATATATCATATGATATGTCCTTTTTTTTTTTTAAAGGAAAGTTGGGTATCAGCAAGTAGGTAAAATTTTTCTGGCTGCTTGGTAACATTTAAAAACCAGCCCCACAGATAAACTGAGCTGGAATCTGTGTAAAGATTTTGCCCAGCTGTGTATGGGGTAGAGATTACTTTACAGCTTATTAAAGGACCTCATTCAGGCCTGAGCCTTCTTCATACCAACCCTTGCCTTCTATCCTAAGCTTTTCCATAAATATAAAAAATTCTCCTTTGATTGCAGTAAATTGACTTAATCTTCAGTCATGCCTTTTTACTGAGAATATTGTTACTAAAATAGCCCAGATTAAGATTACCAAGGTAAACTGAAGTTATTTTGTGGAAGCTGGAGATGAAAATAATTTCAATAGTTTAAAAACTATTCTGATTGTATGGAATTGTATAAAGGTGTTTCTCTCTAAAAATGCTAGCTGGTTTCAAGGATCCTGACTAAGAATTCTATTCCTAAACAATCTGTTTTTTAAATTCTTATTCTAAATGCCTAATCTTGTATCTCAAAAAAGCTACTCTACCATAAATATTTAATATTAAACATTACATCCATCAGATATGGATTTGAAACGAAAACTATAAATCTGTAAGTTTAACTTGTTTTAAAATCAAATTAGTACATTTGTTAGGGTAGTTTTAAAAAATAATACAACAGCATTAATAACTATCTTTATTCTAAAACTGATAAAAGCATTTAACATATACTTTACAGTATAAACAAGTGCTATGCATTTTGCTTAAGAAGTGACTTAAACGTTTTTCAAGCATTATATAATTCAATTTGTACAGAAAGTAAATTCCCAAATAAAGCTTTGGTAAGTAGAACTGATTACATACTGTCAAATCCATTTTCCAAAGCTGTTCAAAGAAAAGAGCTTCATCCACTAACGCAGGTATTTCTTGTACAAAGTTTTTCACTGTTTATTAAGAGGGAGGAATATTACAATAATTGCTTTTGATTTCCATGTCTGGACCAGCCTTTTTTCTCCTCATTTATATGCGCTCAGAATACCATCACTTTTGAAAGCATAAATTATGCAGAAAATCACCTTTTTACTTGATTCTTAGGAAGGTAATCTATTTTAAAAATAGATCCGTAAGACTGTTAGCTTCCATATCTACCAAGATGCTTTCTAAGTTTCAAGCACTAATACATGCCACTGGGGGTAAATCACTTCTAATTTCCCTTAGGAGGGTAATATCTACTAGCACTAGTGCTCAGAATCAAGTTTATATAATATCTTAAAAAAAACTAAATATAGCCCCAAACAACATTTTTACAGTTTCTACAATGTATGGATTACCTTTACTCATATGAAAGTAATAAAAATGCTGCCTAACTTAAATATAAAATATCAGTTTAACCAAATTAACTATCACAAAACTGTAGACATTTTTCTATTAAAATTTTCCAGTCCACTGAGCAATATTTACTCAAAAATATGATTATGAACTTAAATATATGCTCTTTTAAATTTACTGTTTATGCTGAACTGTACATTGGTGCTTTGATGATTTTTGAAAATTCTACTTACATAACTGTATAATTCCAAAATGAAAAAATAAGCCATCACTAAAATTCACTGGAGACTAATATTCTTTCATGGAAACAATTTATAAACATTTTAAAGTTCTACCTTTAATTATTTCAATTTGGCTTTTAAAAATAGATAAAGCTTCTCATTTCAATTATTGTGTAATACTTCAAAACTAGTTTAAACAAAGATAAACCCAAGAAGAACTAGTAAAAGCATTCCTTACTTTACATATGATGCCCCAAGTGCCACATACATAGTAATGTATCACAGAAAAGAATTTATATAGTTTAGCAGATTATAGAGCAATCCTAAAAGTTTATACAAAGCTAAACACTGCCTCCCTTTTATTCCACTCATTTTCTTTTAATTTGATCTTGGCTCTATTTATTATCTTTCTACAATAACCACTGTGTGACATTTATCAGTTTTTCT